TGGAAAAAGGTAATCAAGTCTTCGAATGCTGGGGGGGTATTCCATACCCCCCAGATCCCTCGGTGCTGTTCTTACACAAAGGCACACCCCCTTCAAAACGTTCATACTGCTTTTTGAAAATGGACAGACAAATCTTGGGTACCTTGAAAAAAGGTCTCGATGGTTCCTTTTCTATTTCCCTTAGCACCCCCATGACAGCCTTTAGAAAAATCAAATCAAATCGGGGGGGGGGGGGGATGGAATATCGCCCAGTATATGAAAACTTGATTACCTTTTCCTAAAAGTATTATGGGTTTTTTTTATGGAACACCCCCCAGTCTAGCAGTAGCTACCCCCATTGTAGCCTTTGAAAAAAGGTAAGCAAGTCTTCGTGCGCTGGGGGCGTTATCAAGATATTCGCGTCGACTTCAGCCATAAATATGTCTTGTCTAGACGATTCATTTTGCCTTGGTGAGTACCCTCCTCTAACAATCTGCTCTTGAGAATAAAAATGAATTATAACCGATCACGATAAGGGGTCGAGGAGGCGAGGTTTGATTGGTAGAAACTAGTTCCTTTCATTTGGACCTTTCATTAGAGTACGATGAAGGCTATAAATTTAACATTGCAATAGGTAAAGGATAGGCATCTTCGCAATTCAGATTTCCACAATATTAACAAAAGTCATTGTAGGCACAAAAATGCACGTGCAAGTTTATCGAATGTTTAGGACTCGATTTAGGATAAGCAGGAATTTTTTAAAACTTGTCCAAAAGTGGGAAGCGGGTAGGCATCTCCAATTATTTTTTTTTTTTTTGATCGGGCGACACCTTTGCGAAAGTAGTCCCAGAGTGCGACAGGAGGCTATAGTCTACGGGCAGTGAGCTTTGGTGTTCGAGAGTGTGTAGTAAAAATTCAAAAATTTTAAAAAATACATAAAAATTCATAAAAATTCAAAAAATTCAAAAATGTAAAAAACCAAGACTTCAAATTTGATGTACAAGAAAAGCGTCAACTTTAAACAGAAAAAATTTTTTAAAAATAAGTTAAATTCGAGAAAATTAGACACAAAAGATTGAAAAATGTAATAAATAATTGAAAAAATTATCCATAAAAATAGTCCAAGGAAGGAAGATATCTACGGGCTACGGAAGAATACTGAATCTACCACAGAAGACAGAGAGAGAACTGGGTGCAAGCTGAATTACCGACGGAGCTTGAGAAACCAAAAAACAACAAAAACCGTGGTGGAAACGTCGAAGAAATCAAAAATGCTAAAGAGTGATTTTTTAAAATTTGAAGTTTGTTAGTGACAGTGGATTTTTTAATCTCTTCTTGAAAAGTCAAAAAGTGCAACAACCAATTCGAATTAGGCGACAACCGCAAAATTCAATTAAGCAATTTTACATACAAATCGTTTTTGTGTTTAAATTAATCGCATTAATTACCAGGATCCCGGCGATCTGAATTTGGTTTTATGCAAAATTGTTTAATTAAAGTTAAATGCCATCGGGTGTATCATTAATCAATTTGTTCCATTAATTTTTTTTCCTTTAATTACCATTTCTAATACGCTTTTTTTTCTCGCCGATCCCGTTCCCTTTGAACGCTCCCAAAGCTTAAAAGGTGCAGGGTAGGAGTGAGATTGAGACGCTTCGGGTAATTAAGGCATTTTATACTGGGCGCTTGGTTTAATGTTAACTTTAGAAAAAGTGGACCTACGTTTGAATTAAATATTCATTTGTCTCGATTAACATATTGAAAACATGTATCGAACAAAAAAAAAGTAAACAAATTTACAAACGGAACCAATCGTAAATTTTTTGTGCCTCGCTTGCACAACTTAATCTTTGTTGCGAATTAAATTAACACGATCTACATACCGGAGGAGATTATTTTAATTTCTCTTTAAATTTAACCCAAGCTCCTGGCTGAACTCGGCCAATTTTTGGAAATTTTTAGGTGACGCATAAATTTCGAATTATGATTACAAAAAATAATTACAGTGATCGCGCTGGTAACCCAAAACCGAATGAACTCAAAACTCTCTCTCTCTCTCTCTAGTGATCCCTACCTCTTCTTTTTAACTGATTAAAGCCTACAAAGTGGCTTATTATTAACGAAAACGGCCATCTTGAATCATTAATTCGTTTCGTTCGTTTCCTGCCCTACGAATTAAATTAAAGCTATGGTGATAACTGAACATACCACTTGTATTTCCGTAATACATAAATGGCCTAATACTTACGCTGCGGTTTGGGGCACATAAAACCAATTCAGATAACCACTTTAGCTCTTGTTTCCCCGACATTTTGCCACCAAACTTCCGGAACCCACTATAAGAACAACTACCGTAAGTCTCTTACAGAAAGGAACTCTTGAAAGGCCTTTGAGGCCCTTGAAAGCTCTCAAAAATGCGTCTCTTTGGGGAATCCCAGAAACCTTAGCAGGCTCTCAAAGGTTCTTACAGAGAACTGATCGATATTTTTTATACAAATCAAAAAAAATTACCTTACCTAAATTATAGCGTTTTCTAAAATCCCTATGGTACAAATCCAATACCGCCCTTCCCGAAGGGATGGAGTCTTAAAGTTGGACAATATATTGTGTAAAATGAGTCATGCGGACGTTTTATTTGGAGTAATGTTGGTCGCTAATTCAGAATGATCATGTCATTGCTGATTTTGTTTATAATAAATTATTTATTTAATATGCAATTTTTTTTAATTTGTTTATTTTATTATCCAGATAGATTTGCGTGTAATGTTTTTTAAAACTTTGTCTCGCGTGATCTCCGGTCATTGCGATCAGAGCGTTATCAATGCGTAGGTTAGTTAGTTTCAAGATAAGCACGTGTTATCGAAGTAAACACAAGTGTTCAATTTATTTGAAGGCGCAGTTGTAAGTGGAGCGGAAAGGGAAATGGTTTTTAATAGAATAGAAGAACGTTAATCGTTGAGTTTTTTGGTTTGGTGGACGTCGATACGTAGCCGCTTATTGTTTTGGTCTTTGGCAGTATGGTAATTATAGAACTTTTTTGAAAAGACAGTCTTCTTTAATTGTAAAGTTTTGTGGAAGAAAGTTAGAGAGCATTTAGAGATTTAAGTCGTCGTGGTAAAAGTAAATGTGTCCTTTAAATAGTTTTTTTCCACTATCAAAGAGCCAATTTGACATCTATCGATACATCGAACCCAGTGTCGTCTAAATTGAGAGGACATCAGTTATGGGAATCACAATTGACCGTATACTTTTCATTGGTAACACCTTAAGGTAATTAAGGTTAATTGTTTCAATCGATCGCTTGTTGCGTGGTATGTGTATTATTCTGGCCCTAAGTGCCTATTCTCATTTCAGCTTTATTTAATTGATTTTGTCTAATACATTTCGTTTCATCTGTTCAGTATTTCTTCTTCTGTTTAATCGAGCCCAAATTACGTCCTAGATGCTAAATTCTTCGGTTGGTACCCAGGGTTATGATAAGTGTTTAATTAATAACTTGTACAGGCGACCCACGTTAAGCTGAAGCACTAGACGAATGCGCGTTGAGCGGCAAATTCAAATATACCCAATAGCGGCGTTACTGCTAAAAATTCTAGCCAAAGATGACTGAAAAACTTGTATACGACGCTAAGTTGCTAAGAGACGGCTGCGCGCTAGTGATTCAACCTGATTAACGGATGGCCTTCACTCTGACTACGAGTTGTTTTACAAGAGCTCCACCGAGGCTCCAACGTGCATTTAATATGAACGGCTTCACGCTTTATGCCCGAAAAAACTACCACGCACTTGACGCTCTGGTGACCTAAAACCGATTTCCCTACCCCTATCTCTCCTGTACGCGTCCCTACTTTTTTCAATTTTACAAAACCCGCCTACAAAATGGTGCTAATCGGCCATCTTTAATCATTAACCAATCGGTTTTGTTTCCTTACCCCAATCAAATGCTTATAAAGGTCGTCTATCTAAATCAGGATCGTAGTAGTTCTATGGGAGATCTCTTTTATGTATACCTGATGAACAGTGAAGGAAAGAAAGGAAAGATAAGAAAATAGTGACGTGTGCCTAGAGCATAGCAGCTCGAACAACCGCTCTCCAAACAAAAATAGCTGTTATCAGGAACACAGAAGTGAAACTGTCATTCCAATGTTTACGTGATAAATAGTATTAGGAGCACAGAGAAACAAGATACTTTAAATACATTGAAAATACTGAAATACTTAATTGTATCAGGAATACAGCAGTATAAAAAACACGTTTCGTAGTCCCAGTAACCAAATTCAGCTTTAATAAAATCTACTCATGAAATTAAGAATACATTTTGTTAATCGTGTTATTATTACAGCACTGTACATACTGTAAACAAAATCTACTATGACAGGAGTGCCGAAATGTAACTGTAAGGCCTTCTTATTTTCAAAAAACCTAAAAAACAAAAACGCACCCGAATATAAATAGCAAAAAATCAATTCACTTGCCGATCTAAGTAAATGGTAACACCTGTTCCCGCAAAAAAAAACAATTATATTAGGAGCGCATGATTTAATGCAAAGGTGCGATTTCTTGGGTTTTAAGCTCTAGCTACAAAACATTCCAAGAGGTAAAGGTACTCTAACAGGAGCATAGAAAAATACCTAATCGCGTTTTATGTTCTCTTGGTATTTTGGTACCGAAATCCAGTAAATGGCGCCCGATTCAAAACATCAAATTATTTGTTCGCGGTTTATTTTCCATGACCATATCGAGCCTGTTTTTTTGCAAGCGGTTGCGTATTTTTGTGTCAATGAAAAGAAGATGAAAGTGGAATGCGCGCACGTCCTTTCAGTTCGCGTTGCAGAAATCCAATTGCAAAATGATAAATCACGTCTCTCTGGAGTATTTCTCTTAATGGCGTTCTGTCATTATTAATCAAAACGTCGGCCTCTTTAAACATTGTTAACGTAATTTTACGCTCGTTCACGTATTAATAACGAAACGGTCGCGACGTAAATTATCTCAGCGCAAATCGTAATTACGTAACTTACCCGATGGGACGCTCGTTATTTTCGCGGCGGGCGGCGGATTTTTGAGCCTCTGCGGTGGGTACTTTGGGACCTGTAGGACGACGGGCGTCTTGACGCTAAGATCGACTGGTTCCATTTGGACCGGCGGACCTTCGGCCTGGAAACAAGATTACGCTGTGATTCAAATTAAACAAGTATAAATTGTGCACGACTCTTGTGCGGATAAAGCGCATTTTTTTAAACCGAAATGGATATATTTCTTGCAGACGTCTCAATCGCCCTTTGTGAGTACCTTCTTCCGACAATCCGTTCCTGAGGTATAAGGGAATATACTCGATCACGATAAGAAGTCGAGGAGGAGGGCTATGGTTAGTTGGTAGAAATTAATTCCTTTCGTTGAGACCTTTCATTAGAGTACCATGAAGGATAAAACTAGTTCCACTCCCCCCCCCCTTCCCCTCCACCCCGTACTTTGATAATAGGGCAAAAAGGGCAGTAGTTGGTAGAAAACGGTTCCTTTCGTTGAGACCTTTAATTAGAATACAATGAGAGATAACATTAATTTTTAACCCCCCCTCCCCCTCGGGCCTCGTCGCTCACTGATCTCGAAAAAGAGTCGCACGGGAAAGTTATAGTTTGTACAAACCAATTTATTTAGATGAGACTTTTCATTAGAATACCATGAAAGGGTAGAACATGTGTTTACCCCCCCCCCCCCCTCATTTTCTAAAGTTTAACTTGGCACCACTAAAGGCATGCGTATGCAAAATCTGAGACCAATTGGTTGTATGTAAAAGTTATGCACGTTTTACTTTCAAAAACAGCATCTCAGGAAATAATTCGTGGGGGGGGGGGGGGCTTTTAGACAGCGAAATTTGATGGCCGTCTGGCACACCTTCAAGGTATAGGCTATACCTACTGCAAACAATTCCAGGACTCTTAATTCTTAAAAAATCTAGAAGGCGTTTAACTGTACAAGGATTAAAATATACAGGGTGTCTAAATCCGAACTAGAGCACGATCTCGACTGAAAATTTCACCCTCAACGAAGTTGAATTTAAAATTATACCTAAGCTAAAAACACAGAACCATCACTTGAACCTGAAAAGTTTGTACCTGAACCTGTCGCGCACTATAACCTAAATGTGAATTGAACCTGACCATCCAATCCATAATTGAATTTGAAACTGAATGTGAAACCGGATGAGACGATGCATTTTTAGGCATATTTAGGATAGGTTCACACGGGTTGTTTTTTGTACCTGAACTTACCTGAACTAGTACTTTAACCTGAACCCAAAATTGAATCTGAAACCCAACCACAAAACCGCGCCTTATTTAGAATTGGTTCAACTGGGTTGATATCTGTACCTGAACTTCAATCACAAACTTCTACTCTAACCTAAAATTGAACCTGAACACCTGAATCCATAATTGAATCTAAAATCGAACGACAAGACTGACCTTCTTTGATGCATTATTAGGATAGGTTTACACGGATTGATTTTTGAACCTGAGCTTTAACCGCATACTGAAACTCTAACCTGAATTTGAACTCGAACATGAATCTATAGACTATAATGGAACCTGTACCCTAAACTTGCACTCTAACCTGAACTAACTGAATTGGACACCTGAATCCATAATTGAATCTGAAACCTAACTAATAGAACTGGGTCTTCTTTGAGGCACACATAGGATAGGTTCAAATGGATCGATTCCTGTAGCTGAACCTGAACCCTAAACCTGAAATTGAACCTGACCTTAAACGATAAACTGAACTTGTATTCTAGCCCGAATTTGAATCATAACCTGAATCCATAATTGAACCTGGCGTTCGAACAACAAGAAATTTAGGGTAGGTTCACACACATGGGTTGATTTTTGTACCTGAACTTGAACCGTATAGAGGAACTGTCTTGTTCTCTAACCTGAATTTGAACCTGATGTTTAAATCTGACCTTAAACGATAAACTAAATTTGTACTCTAATCCAAAATTGAACCTAAACCTGAATCCATTTTTGAACCTGAGATTGAATATGAAATCAAACCACAAGACTGGAACTTCTGTCAGGTATATCTAGGATAAGTTAACATCGGTGGATTTTTGTATCAGAACTTGAACCCAAACCTGAACCTGAATCCACTATTGAATCTGAATCTGAATCCAAACTGTAATGGTGGGCGTTTTTGAAGTATATCTACAATAGGTTCTATTGGGCTAATGTTCATACCTGAAATTGAACCTGAAACTTGAGCTCTAACCTAAAGTTGAACTTGCACCTGAACTCAAATTAAAAATAAAACCGAATTAAAAGACTGGGCCTCCTTTGAAGCATATATAGGAAAAGTTGTACCTGAACATGAACCCTAAACTTGAGTACACTCTAACCTCAATTGAACCTGAACCTGAATCCATAACCTGAATCTGAAACCGAGACCGGGTCTTCTCTGATGTTTGTACCTGAACTCAAAATTGAACCTGAATACCTGAATCCAGAATTGAATCTGAAATTGATATAAAACCGAACTACAAGACTGGGTCTTCTTTGAGGTACACTTAAGATAGGTTCAAATGGGTTGATGTCTGTAGCTGAACCGCAACCTTGTGTTCTAACCTGAAATTCAACCTGATCTTAAACTACAAACTGAAATTGAACCAAAAGCTGAATCCATAATTGAACCTGGAGTTGAATATGAAACCGAACGTCAAGAGGTATATTTAGAATAGGTTCACACACACGGGATGATTTTTGTACCTGAACTTGAACCTTATACGGAAACTGTCTAACCCGAATTTGAACCTGAACCTAAATCCATAATTGAACCCGAAATAGAATATGAAACCGAATGAAAAATTGGGCCTTATTTGAGTAGCTGAACTTAACCATAAACTGAACTCTAACCCAAATTTGAACCTAAACCTGAACCCATGTTTGAACCTGAGATCGAACATGAAATCGAACCATAAGACTGGAATTTCTGGATAGGATAGGTTAACATCGGTGGATTTTTGTTTCTGAACTTGAACCCTCAACTTGTAATTGAACCTGAACCTGAATCCATTATTGAGGTACAGTTACCTCTTTTCTATTATTATTATTATTATTAGCCTGAAATCAAACCTTACTACAAGGCTGGCTCTTCTTTAGGCGTATTTGGCATAGGTTTACACGGGTTCACTTTTGTACTTGAACATATGAACCTTAAACTCATTCTATAACCTGAATTTGAACATGAACACTTAAACCCATAATTGAATCTTAAACCACACTACAATACTGGGGTCTTCTTTAAGGAATACAGAGTACATTCAAATGGGTTGAATTTTGTACCTGAACTTAAACCCTAAACCTGTACTCTAAACCTGAAATTGAACCTGAAAACCTGAATCTGAAATGAATTACGCAATCGAACTACAAGACTGAGCCTTCTTTAGGATTCGGGTTGATTTTCAAACAATCTTAATTCCATAAAGAGGTTTGAGGTTTCTAAGAAGGTTCGTGGAAGTCAGTAGAAGTGGGCCAACCCCCTCCCCTCATCCCTCGGTTTGGGTCACGACTTTGTTTTATGGCGCAAGGTCGCGGTATTAGATTTCTCCGACAAAAAAGTCGTGGTATTGGTAAAGGGGATTTCCTCGGCGATGTAACTAAGGAGTGGCCTTGTTTTATAGTGCAAGGTAGAAACTCTGGTCACGTGCTTGGCTGATATCCGTCATTCCGTATGGTTTTTCGAGTTTAATTTTTTTTTACAGTTCAGGCTCAAAAATACACAAAACGAACGATAGAGAGACAGACAGATTTTAATTTAGGAAGAGAGAGACAATATTGAAAACCTGAGCTATTTTAAAAAAATGACAAATTATGTATTTCATTTCAAATTTTACAAAGAAAAGCGAATGGTTCTTGTCTTGGCTAAAGTAAAATGGGTTCTTGGTCCAGGTTCGTGGGGTTCTTGTATAAATTAAAACCTCAGAATGTTATTTAAGAGAGAAAAATCGACCTATAAAATTAAACTCGAAAACTTTTACAAGTTCTGAAACGTATTTCAAATATCGATTGAACTGTATAGAATTAAACGCGAAAAACAAGTTTTTTAAACCATCCGGAATTACGGATAACAACCAAGCACGCGACCAGGGTTTTTTCGCCGGTGATATCCCAAACCACGATTTTGCACCATAAAACAAGGTCACGCGTGAACTACATCAACGGGGAAATCGGCTTCGTCAAGGTCACGACAGGTATGGTGCCCCACTTCTACTGAGGTTGGAAGGGTTCTCAGAAGGTTTCGATTAGATTTTCAAAATTTGTGTTGTTGTGACCAAGAATGAAGAGAATGTGCCCATTGGGCGTTGGGAGACAAATTGGGCGTTATGACCAGTGAACGTCGTATTAATATACCAAGTTGTCTCTTTTTCATTCAAATTCGGATTCGATCAACAGCAGAAGAATGCCAAAAAAATGCCATCCAAGTTTATATTAATGTGGCGTGGCTCAAAGAAGAATATTTCACATTCACCATCTGCCATCGGAAACAACCGGTGCAATTTCATTGATTCCAATTCTTTTTTTTTTCTTTAGTCATCTCTCTCTCTCGTCATAAACTGACTTAACGGATCGCTCCCGCAAAAGAACTAACAAAGCGAGGCGAAGAATTCACCTCATTAATTTGTGCTCACCGCCGCAGCGGAGATCTCTTACAGTTGCCATTCCTTTAATCGTTCAAATAAAACCATTTTAATGTTAATTTACATTTATTATCCGACGTTGTTGCTATAATTATTGTTCCGCCATCGGAGCGTAAACGCGCGGAAATCGTACGGGGAGGAAAACCCACCGGACCGGAGGGAGTTTAATTAAGAGCGGTTACGGAAAAATGTCTTGAGAGGTTTCCGCGTTTTCTCGCCGCGGAAAAAAACCGTTTCTGTATAAATAATTAATTAGGGGGGATTGGTTCGGCGAAACCAAGGTTCTTATTCTGCGTTAATTACGGATGGCAATTAGATACTGAATCGGGCTTAATTTGGTTCACTCCGCGAGGGGTCCATTAATCATTCTAACGCCTCTATTATAAATTCTAATGAGGTTATGTTATTGTCATGTCGTTTTCAAGCTTGAATATGTATAACAAGCGCATCGGTAAGTTATTTATACTGATATTTGCGCGGTGTCGATGATTGAGACGACTTGTGTACCGCCATGAGCGTTTCGAGATACAATCTCCTATAAACCGGCTCCTGGTGTTAGATCTTCTATGGGATCTTAGGTAGGCGCAACAAAGACTATAAGCACCATCTATTTTACTCCGATATGAAGAATATGAGTGAGAAGTCAACAGATACTGGGCACAATTTCTCCCCAAATACGATAATATCCTCCAGACAAGTCTTCCATGATAATCCCACCCTATTAGTCGCTAAAAAATGAATGGCGCATTGACCAATCCAAATGGCATCACAGTGAATTGCCATAATCCTGATCCAAAGGTGAAGGCCGTCTTTTGCGTATCTTCCAATTCCAGTTGCCAATAGCCACTTTTTAAAAGTAACGTTGTGAATATTCTTGATCCAGCAAGTATCTAAAGGGTCCTCAATTATCGGTAACGGATAGGCGTCTTTCTTGGTCACGTTGTTGAGTCGACGATAATCCACACCAAATCTGGCGGAGCCGTTTTTCTTCTTTACAAGGACTACGGGAGAAGCATTTGCCTCCTTCATATCCCTCTCATCCAGTCATTGAACCCTCATCAATCCATGACTCAAAGAAAGATTGATCTGACGAAGAGGATTTTTGATTCCACTCCAACGCCTGGAATAACATCATTCGAACATTACTCACCGCCCACGCTCGGCCCTTTCCAACACCTGAGACTCACACTCTACTAAGAATTAGACCGAACAGAGGAACTTGGATTCTCCAAGACCATCATGACCCCGTCCTTCTTCAGCTCTAGCTCTGCCTCAGGACTGACCCTTCTCCCTTCTCCATGGTACAAAAACTCGGAACCCCGCAATCACCTTGACCACTTGGCATCCCATCTTACGTTCCACCATCAGCTTGTGTGCCATTGGAAATGTTTTACGGGAAACGCACAATTCAAATTGCACAAGGACGAAGACTTGCAAATATATCCGCAACGTTTCTTTTTGGAGCGAGAAAGAGAACGTGGCGATGTACAAGGTGTTAATACAAGTTAGGGCATTCGTCTAGGCATGTAATTTTCCACGGGTGTATGTAACATTTTATATTTTAACAACTCGCACAATTTTAAATTCAATTACGATGTTTGATAGTTGTTGTCGGCTTGTGTGATGAGTCGAGGGTTTTCGATTCAAAATAAAAGTGGCAAACCCCTCTGGCCTCCCTGGCGTGTCTCCTACCGATGCGATTCAGAGAAACGGACAGGGTACGTGAATGAGAATCATTCCCCCTGAGCTGTAGAGGCGACTCAGTAGGTTTTTTGAACGGTTTTTCTCAGACCTGACCCCTATGTTAGAAAATGTTGACCAACCGAAAGAAAGCCTCGCAAGGAGTTTCAAATGGTGTTAATTGAGGTCCATAAAATTAACCCTTCGAGATCGCTTGTTCATATTTAGTCGTCTGGGGAGTTGGAAACCCAGGAGCATGCACTTTGATGACGTCACCCACATGTCCCGCCGCCGTCTCCTCATCATCCTCACAATCCATTGAGTGAGAATGAATTATGACACTCCTCAAAGTACGGGAGGTGGTAAATTGGTGGCTCCAAAATATCATCACCTTCATCTGAAAACCACTTCTCAACAGGCTGCAACTTGTCTTGGCTTCAGAAGAACCTTTGCACGTGTCTGTCCTCGTGCCGGATGAGGACCTGGTGGAACGTCTCCTTGATACCAGCCGTGAAGGCATCTCTCCTCTCTCTGAACCTCATCAAAATCCTCGGTGGAGACACGATCTGTAAGAAGATTGTCGTTGAGACTCACTCCATGGTTCTTCGCGGCCTGATCCAGAACCATCCTGATTTTATCTGGCTTTTTGGGATTAAAGACTCCAAAGTGGGGCCCGAATCCACTTTTTGTACACAATCTTGCCCCGCAGAGCTTAGCCTTCTCGAATGTTTTCTTCAGAAGATCGAGACGCCTCAACGCTCGCCCTTTGCTCTCCAGAAGGCAAACATGTTAATCGCGCCAGAGCGGACCTGTTTCCCAACGTCTCCTCCTTCGCACGACTGTCTTCCTTTTACTCGACCGGTCATCCTTGACACTCACTCCGAATGCCTCTGTACTCTGAAGCAAATCGCAAATTTGGCGCGTCACGTGACTTTCACCTAAACAAATGCGCTAAAACCTCACTGTCTTGGAGCTCACGTAACTGTCTCGCACCGATGTCGCTATATCTACTGAGTCGGGTTATCGGTGACAGTTAGGCGCGTTGGGTTGTGTGCGTTGGTTACGTTTTGAAGCGCAGCGGCAACGAAAATGATAAGAATGGGGGCTTGCGGTTGGTGGAAAATTGACGTGAGTCGTGAATTTTGCGTTGGTTCCGTTTTAAGTCCGTGATGGCGTGTAGTCCGTTTGCGCGAATTTTAAATGAGATCGGGAACAAAATTTCCTCCCGTCGTATTGAAACGTTCAAGATAATGAAGCTTGTATTGACCTCGACCGCATTCAAAACTTGCGCCAAATTCTCGAAGTAAACTGAGTTGTTGGTGCACAAAGATAAATTCAAATTCCAACTACCCTACACACGCTAATTTTTCCGATTATTTTAGTTGAGCAAAATGCCTTTTTAAAGCGTCTCGGATTGTTTAACTACGACCAAGTTTTATGTATAGTACGAATTCTTCGAAATGAAGTCACCAAACGTACGGGCAACGCCTCTATCGACTCGCACAAGTTTATGCACGGTTTTAAAACACGGCCCTACTCCAATTCAGACCCACGAACGATTTACATTTTTTCCGCGATTGCTAATATAAATTATCGAGTTAGTATATGTATGTCAAAAAACTGTCAATAAAAATTAAGCTTGAGTCTTGTATCCTTTTTGCAAATATAAGCTTGTAGAAAGAAATTTTGTGGTTGGTTAAACTCTTTATTTCTAAAAGAATAGCTAAAATCGCGCGATTTAACTTGGACGATCGTAAAAACTGAAAGCTCGCCCGCTATTTCGATCGAGGTTGAGCTGGAACTTTTTCGTTTCTCTCTCTAATTTTGAATACGTAGGTGGCTATGTCCAAAAACGAAGCGGAACAAAAGCAAATGTCGCGATCAAGCCCGCTGTGATCCAATAATCGACACCCGTCTCCAAACGATTCTACGCAACCTCGCATCTAGTCCGGGGCCGCCGCAACATAAAAATTTTGCTCTGAACAGCGAGCTACCGTTACAAAACGAAGAAAGGTCTTTTGGAAAATCCTAGAAAAAGGTACTTTTTAGACTTTATATGTTTTTGGGAAGCAACTTTTCAAATGAGCGCATAAACGTGACGACTGTGAAAGCCGCCGTTGGGGCGCCAAATTGTATTTTGACAGGAAATTGAGATGCCCCAACCTTAACAACATCCTGTGAATATGATTGTCGATACGAAGCACCCTATACATCATGTTAGTTACACAAGCTGCCAACCGAAATCTGGTGGGATTACAGAAAAGGGAAAGAGAGCGAAGATGAGACGAATGGAATTTCTCGGAAGACCACATGTGTTTACCATTTCAAACACCTGCAGTCCAGTTTTTTCCTAGAAATGCGTGAAATGCAGGGAATGTGCGATTTTCGGGTGAGTTTTAGGGGTGTTAGCAGATCGATTTTTTCATTGCATTTCATTATATTTGCTTATTTGGGACTGTGGGTAATCAAGAGAGAAGTGTGCTTCTTTAGAGGGGATCGAGTTATTCAAGTTTATACGGGCCTTGGTGAACCTAACACTAACATTTTCACTCGTTCCGAAACCCAACAACTTTAGCCCACGTCTACAGGCACCCCACTGGGCCTGGGTAATCCTACCGCCCGGCGAGGTATATTTAATATCTCTTAGTTTTGTCTGATGTATGTGTTGTAATACCTGGGGAATGGCTCGATTCCATTTTGGTTACTCATAGCGTGTATGTAGTATTTACCCCGGTTTCGAGAGGGCTCAAAAGTGCTGTACATTAGATGTTAGCTGTAGGCTTTGTTCATTATAGGACTACTCCGAATTAGGTTTTCCTGCAGTTTTCCTAATTCGTAAGGTAAATGCCGGAGTAGTATAGAACCACTTAAGACCCTCTGCAGGGGCGCCGTATTGGTATTGGTATTAGCTTCAATATAATCTTAATCAGCTATTGCTTTTGGTGTTCCTTACCCATAAAACGCCCTCAGTGCCTGCTGAGAACCCAGTTATTACACAACGTAGGTGTCCTACATGACGATCACGATCTTAGTGCACTCGGAGTGGCCCCCGAATGACAGATTCTCGCGGGAAACTTAAGCGAGAATATTCAAATAGGCAGCCATGGTAATTTGGCATTCCCGCTACTACAGAATATGGTCAAATATTCCGGTGTGACTTGAAGTTGGCGTTAGCCCGCCAAGATAGTAGGAGGCTAAGATCATTACAAAATGGCGCCTAATAGGCGCATAATATCGGAATGCCATCACACTAATGACTATTAAAGGGCCCCCCGAAGAAAATATGATGGGTAATACTAGGAAATGGGCACATATGCCATACCCCCTTTGCGGTTAAAGTGCGAAACAGAAAATCCTTGGTTCGAGACCGATGGCAATAAAAATTCAAGTTTGATCAAATTAGGAAATTACATATGTACTAAACGAGCAACGGCACGATAAAAGAACTAACGCTGTCGACACCATCTGGTGTTGTGCCATTTACAAAAAGGCATCAATTCTGCCACAAAATTGACGGACGACTCGATCATTCCACTCACGTACTCGTCTCATTATCGCCATAAAGAACTCCGCGATCTTCACTTGATCGATCGAGGTCGACTGAGGCAACGGCGAGAGGCGCATAAATTCAGGGACTCGCCTCTACAGGGTGCTTTCGCTTACCTCGGGTGCGATCGGCGATGGAGGCATTCCAGGTCGAGGGGCGCCCACCCACCGATTTGCCTCCGTCTGACATTCGTCCTGCAACACAAGAAACAAAACGAAATTAGCGACTTTTCCTTTTGCGCGTGCCTAACGATAAAGTACCGCACGTAACTCGGGTACATTCTAAATCGATCTCGAAATAAATTATCTATTAGAGGTAAAGTGAAAGATTGAACACCTTTGCGAGCGGTGGCGGCGGTTGTATTAATTTATTCGTCTATCACGATCGATACTCGCGTAAAAAGATTCTTCAGGAAGTACCTACTTTAACGTGAAGAGCGGCGATCGTGACTGAAAGTCCGAGTAATTATAGTAGGGCCGCTTGTGCTACATAAATTGATAACTATGATCACAACAAAAATAATTTCGTCCTTCGTCTTCAAAAGTTTTCTAAAGGCGTTGAAAGCCTTTAATTGACTTTGAGTCTCCAAAACCTTCCAAAAGTCAATAACATCCCTTTTTAAACTTACACTGAATGTCAAAATCTCCTTTGAACTATGCATATTCAATGTCTCAGATCCTTAGATTCCTACAGGATTCCTACAAGATTCTTGCAAGATTCTTGCAAGATTCCTACAAGATTCTTGCAAGATTCTTGCAAGATTCTTGCAAAATTCCTGCAAGATTCCTAAAAGATTCCTATAAGATTCCTACAAGATTCCTACAAGATTCCTACAAGATTCCTACAAGTTTCCCACAAGATTCCTACAAGATTCTTAGATCCATTCTCAGATAATTAGATTCCCACATTCTCAGATTTTCAGAGTCTCAGATTCTCAATTCTTAGATCCTTAGATCAATTCTAAGATTCTTAAGATTTTCAAGATTCTCGAGATTCTCAAGATCCTTAAATCCTAATTCTGGATTCTTTTTCCTTTTTGATTTAGACATTTTGAAATTTTAGCTATGATTTGCTTCTTTTCAAGTTAGGTCTTTTATTTGAATCTTTACATGTTGGGATCTCTAGACCTTTAAATTTTAAATTCCAATCTTCCTAAACAGTTAGAATTTGAGATCTTAAACTCCTGGATTCCTTATAAGTTTAGAAATTTTAAGATCTTGAACTTGGTCTTGAAGTATAATTAAAGTGCGACTTTTTGTTCGTTTAGTTCTCCAAATGCTGAATGTTTTTGCACAAAACTTACAATTCTACTGGCATTTATAAGTCCGATAAGTTAGTTTATCTAATTTTATAATTCTCGTGATACATATACTGGATGTTTAAAGTTGTTAGAAAATTACTTTACTATACAATTTTAAATGTCTCGTAGATTCTTGGATTCCAGTAAATTCTGGGATTCCCGTAGATTTTTGGATTCCCATTAATTTATTCTTAGATTCCCATAAATCCTTCGCTTCCCATAGATCCGTAAATTCGCATAGATTCTTAGATTTTTGGATTCTTGGATTCTCGTAGATGCTTGCATCCCCGTAGTTGCTTGATTTCCTATAGATCCCTGGATTCCCATAGATCCTTGGATTCCAATAGATTCTTGCATTCCCATAGATCATTGGATTTCCATAGATCCTTAGATTCCCATAGATGCTATTAGATTCCAATAGATTCTAGATTGACATTCATTCATAGTTTCCCATTCATTCTTAGATTCCCATAAATCCTTAGCTTCCCATAGATCCATAGATATACATATATCCTTAAATTCCCATAGATACTTAGATTCTTGGATGCTCAGATTCCCGTATATTCTTAGATTCCCGTAGATGCTTGCATGTCCAAAGTTGGTTGTATTCTCATAGATCCTTGGATTCCCGTAGACACTTGGATTCCCATAGATACTTGGGTTCCCATGGATCATTTTATTTCCATAAATCATTGGATTTCCATAGATCATTGAATTTCCATAGATCCTTCGATTCCCATAGATCCTTGGATTCCCATAGATACCTGGATTCCCATAAATTCTTGGATTCCCATAGATCACTGAATTCCCATAGATACTTAGAGTTCCATAGATTCTTTAGATTCGCATAGATCCTTAAATTCGCGTAGATTCTTAGATTTTCATAGATTCTTAGATTCTTGGATTCTCGTAGATTCTCGGAGTCCCGTAGATCCCTGTATTCCCGTAGATGCTTGCATTCCCATAGATACCTGGATTCCCATAGATCCTTGGATTCCCATAGATACTTGGGTTCCCATGGATCATTTTATTTCCATAAATCATTGGATTTCCATAGATCATTGAATTTCCATAGATCCTTCGATTCCCATAAATTCTTGGATTCCCATAGATCACTGAATTCCCATAGATACTTAGAGTTCCATAGATTCTTTAGATTCGCATAGATCCTTAAATTCGCGTAGATTCTTAGATTTTCATAGATTCTTAGATTCTTGGATTCTCGTAGATTCTCGGAGTCCCGTAGATCCCTGTATTCCCGTAGATGCTTGCATTCCCATAGATACCTGGATTCCCATATCTCCCTGGATTCCCATAGATCCTTGGATTCCCATAGTTTCTTGGATTCCCATAGATCATTGGATTCCCATAGATCCTTAGATTCTCATAGATACTTAGATTCCTATAAATGCTTAGATTCCCACAGATCCTAAAATTCCCACAAATCCTAAAATTCCCACAGATCCTTAGATTCTCCGACTCTCATCGATTTTCGCAGATTTTTCTGCGATCTCATAGATTCTTCGATTTCCACAAATTCGTCGATTCTCATAGATTCTTCGGTTCTCATAAGTTCTTTGATTTCGGATTTCGGATGCTCATATATTGTTCGATTCTGATAAATTTTTCGATTCTCATAGATCCTTCGACTCTCATAAGTTCTTTGACCCTCATAGATTCTTCGATTCTCGTAGATCCTTCGATTTTCATAGATTCTTGGATTTAAATAGATAACTGGATTCCCATAAATTCTTGGATTCCCACAGATCATTTTATTTCCATAGATCATGGGATTTCCATACATCATTGGATTTTCATAGATCATTGGATTTCCATAGATCCTTCGATTCCCATAGATTCTTGGATTTAAATAGATACCTGGATTCCCATAAATTCTTGGATTCCCATAGATCATTGGATTTCCATAGATACTTAGATTCGCATAGATCCCTAAATTCGCCTAGATTCTTAGATTACCATAGATTCTTAGATTTTCATAGATTCTTAGATTCTTGGATTCTCGTAGATCCTCAGATTCCAACAGATCCTTAGATTCCCACAGATCCTTAGATTCTCAGACTCTCATTGATTTTCACAGATGTTTCTGAGATCTCATAGATTCGTCGATTCTCATAGATTCTTCGATTCTCATCGATTCATCGATTTTCACAGATATTTCGATTCTCACAGATTCTGCCATTCTGTTAGATCCTTCAATTCTCATAGATTCTTCGACTCTCATAGATTCTTCGATTCTCACAGATTCTTCGATTTTCACAGATTTTTCGATTCTCACAGATTCTGCGATTATCATAGATTCTGCGATTATCATAGATTCTTCGATTCCCACAGATTGGTCAATTCTCATAGATTGTTCGATTCTGATAAATTTTTCAATTCTCATAGATTCTTCGAACCCGGATAGATTCTTCGACTCTCTGATATATTCTTTGACTCTCATAGATCTTTCGATTCTCATAGATTCTTCGATTTCCATCGTTTCTTCGATTCTCATAGATTCTTCGAGTCCCATAGTTTTTTGGATTCTCGTAGATTCTTGAAGATTCATATATTCTTGAATTCTAATAGATTCTTGGATTATAATAGATTCTTAGATTCTTCGGTTCTTCGACTCTTAGATTCTCAGATTCTTAGATCCTCGCAGCCTTAGATCCTCAGATCCTTAAATCCTCAGATCCTTAAATCCTCAGATCCTTAGATCCTCAAATCCTTAGGTCCTCAGATCCTTATCTTCTAAATGTGCTTCAATATCCTCAGATTCTCAGACTCTCCGATTCTCAGTTTTTACTATTTCAATTGTACTGTTCCACTATTCTTGTTGACAGATTCTACAGACTCCAAACATCGCCCCAGTCAACCGACAGATTCGGATGGCGTTAAACGTCTTAAAGATTCTAAACAATCCTTGAAATCCAAGTTTGATTTTTTTTTAATGATTTTCAAAAATCACTAGTACCGCATTTTAATTTTGAAAACACTGCTCTTGACACTTTTGAAGTTAGGCACTAACCTCAACCCTTAGGAAATGTTTCAAAACGTTCAAAAATGTGTAACTGTGAATTCTGGGTTGCAATTTGAATAAATTTGTCTCGAAATTTTTATTTTTGAATTTTAAAAAAATATTTTCAAAAATCGCAAGCAATTTTTCAATTTTTGTGCCTAACCTGAACCCGAAGGAAACATTGTTCAAACAAATTTCCCGACTAGTTGGAACCGTCAGTTCCTGAATCGAAATCGAAAAAAATTTTTAAAAAGTGCCCGGCTCAATTTTGAAACCTCGAATCAGTTGTCCAAGGGGCTCTTCGAAGCTCTTAAAAACCTTGAAAATATCAAAGATTCTCAAAGATCCTTAAGATTTTTGGAAGAACAACTTTAAAACTAGAAACTGTGAGGTTATGAAATTTACTAGGACGCCATTGAAGACTTGAAGCCAAAATAAAGTTCTTAAAAGCCTTTAGGGAGCGTTAAAGACTTTTAAAGGCTAATAATAACTTGCATGTACTCTTGAAATCTTGGAATCTTGAAATCTGGAAATCTTGAAATCTGGAATTCTTGAATTCTTGAAATCTTGGAATCTTGAAATCTTGAAATCTGGAAATCTTGAAATCTTCAAATCTAGAAATCTTGAAATCTTGGAATCTTGAAATCTGGAAATCTTGAATTCTTTTAAATTTTAAAATTTGGCAACCTAAAATCCTAGCTGTTCTACTTAAATTGGATATGTTGGAATCTTGAGATTGTCAAAACTTGAAATTTTAAAATCCTGGATTATGTTTTTGGATTATTATTTTAATTTAAAAATTTGAAAATCTTGATCGTAGTACGAAAATCAAGTCAGTTTTGCAAGTATAAAGTGCCTGTTAATTTTCAAAG